CAGATGCTTACCTTAATTTGCTTACTTTGACTTTTTCGGCCCAGGTTCATCCGTTACCCAAAAGAAACATTTGGGCCCATAACCCTTACCATTATCCATTTCTCCTCTATCTCGCTCGCCTGCCGGCCGGCGACAGACAAAGGAGAGTCGCTAAAGAACCTCCCGGCCTTCTGCGTAACATTTCACCGGGAACGAAGAGAAAGTACTATATTGTATCCGGTTCTTCGAGTTTCACAAGTATCGTCCACAAATCGGTTCCGGTACTAAAAACGCTGCTCATTTCTATATCTGATTCATGTTCTCGTTTCTATAGAGTAATTTTTCACAAACAGAAGGTTCAATTTGATGTTAATTTCCCCTGATTCTGCTGCTTCAATTTGAACAGAAAGAATTCAGAGGCGGTGTACACAGTTGTAGCTAATGGAGATGGGAAGCATCATTTCTTGCTTGTGATATATATGATACAGCATTAGATTTTGTCTTCATTTTATTTATTTTTTTTCTTTTACTTCAATCTTACACATTGTACTCTTATCTAGGGAAGGCTATTTTTTCAATAGTTACTTGTGAAAAAGATTTTTCCTTGGAACTGATGGTGCACCCCATGAGAGACAAGGAAAAGAATGTCCTTGTCATTGCGCTGGTATTTACAATGCCCCTGTTGTCTTAGCTCTATATGCAAAGGTCTTTAAAGAGGCATATTTCTTCATTATCCTATCATGTCTTTCTTCTTGTTGTTTCATGGAAAGCTGCAATGAATTGTGAATATCAGATAATAGGTCATTGGTCCATAAAAGTTTTTTGATATACTCTTAGAATGGGAATAGATGCATTTGTTGGTGGTTGACCACCAAATGGTAGCAAAATTTGTGCTTAAAAGATTGAAATAAAATGGGAGACTACATTGTTATTTTGTCCTTGGAAGCAAATTACTTCAGTATATTCTCATTTATGGAAGCTGATACATAGTCTGTAAGAAGAAAAAAATTCTATGGATCATAGGTTTCAACCCTTCTATATATTGTTTCCAATGGTTATTATGAGATAAATTCTACAGTATCACGAAAATATGTTAGATCAAAAGGAAATCTTAATCTACACTTCTTTCATGTAACTTGGTCTATCATCAAAAGTACAGCTCCAAATTTGTCAAAACAAAAGGAAAAATGAAAAATAGAAAGTAAATCGAGTACAAACGAAAGGGTATGCTCAAGCATCAAATAAAACTTTATATTCTACGACCAAGGAACTTGTTTTTAATTGCACACAATTCTGCAGCTGACTTCTTTCATCTCCATTCTTACATTTGGTGACTCATTGAGCGGAGGACTCCTACCTTTGCCCTTGTGGCCAGGCTCTCCAAAATACCAACTTCCGTTCCTAGATTCCTTGCTCCTGAATGTTCATCATTTCGTACATCCCGTTGCAATGAAGGATCTAAAATATCCATTACTCTTTCAGGTAGTGCTGCTTTAGCAAGCTAGTTAATGGTGAAATTGTCTTTGAACAATGAATCTGTTGGTTGTTTTCCTATAACCAACTCCAAAAAGAGAATTCCAAAGTTGTATACATCTCCTGGCTTGGTTGTCTTGTTTACCATGCCATATTCTACTTTAGAAAGGGAAAGTCGAGTGATATTAATTGTTGATTTACCATCTTAGTAAGAAAAAGCTGGTATAACTGTAAATGCCAATACAAAGAAAAAATTAAAAAGATTGAAATAAACAACAATAACTAAAACAGTTACCCAGAGCTATGTAGCCAATAGTCCCTTTTACACCAATGGAACTACTTTGTTGACAAGAAATGGATAGAAATCTTGCAAGATCAAAATCTCCCACGTGACCAACTAGGTCCTCATCAAGTAAAACATTGCTTGGCTTAAGGTCTCTATGAACAATGGATGGTTGGCAGTGGTCAAGAAGATATTCAGTTGCAAAAGCCACTTCAATGGCTATATGAAGTCTTTGAATGAGGTTAAACTATGCTCACTAGCTTGGTCTTCATCTGGACGCAACCAGTCCTCTAAGCTTCCTTTTTTCATGAGTTTGTAGACTAAAGCCTTGAAATCACTCCGTTGGATGTCTATACTTGAGCAAATAGTTATAGTCTTGACTAAATTTTGATGTTGAATATTTCTCAGCATTTCACACTCAGCCATAAAACTTTTGGAAGCTCCTTTCTGCTTGAGGTTCAACTCACTTTCACTGCCACTGAAATTTGATCTCGACCTAGAATTCCTTTGTACACAAAGCCAAAGCTTCCCTCACCAATTAAATTAGATGGTGTGAACTCATTAATTGCTTGTCTCAACTCTACATATGATCTCTTTAGAAATTGTTCAAGCTCTAGCATCATGTTAGAATCTCTCCTTTTAGATCTCCTCTTTGAACAACAAAAAAACCAAAAAGGCTATTATAATGCTTGAGCCAAAGACAACTATTGGGATCACTGTTTTGAAAGTCTTAGAGGAACACTTTCTTCTTCCAGCCTTGGACCTTGCATGTAGGGAGTCCCAACTTCTGAATACCTCCACATAATTTCTGATTTCCAGTAATTAAAATGGCACTAGCATTTTGAAATACTCCTTGCTGTGGTACTTCTCCTTGCAGTCTATTGAAAGACAAGTTTAGAATTTTGCAATAAAGTGAAATTTTGGAAGAATTTGGGAATTTGGCCAGATAGATTGTTTCTTAAGAGATCAAGATATTTAAGGCTTTTCAAAGGATCTAGTGAGGATGAAATGTCTCTTTCTAATAAGTTTTGCTACATGTAAAAAGCCTCTAAGATAAAACAATCTTCCACAGTGCTTGAAATTTTTCCTAACAATTTATTTATAGTTATGATTTTTTTTTTTATGACAAGGGTAATGGTTAGGAAATTAGTGAGTTAATTGTTAGTTGCTGGTCCTTAGACCGGGTGAACATTCTACCCCCTCAAATGAGGCACGCAGCAGGCCACAGTTTGGTAGAATTCACGACGGTGGTGGAACTCGAAGCTCTGACCACCATCTCGCCCAAGCACTAAGGCTTGGGGGTGACCTATTGGGCCACAAGGCCCGGTTCTTTATAATTATGATGTTAAAATTAGAGCTAATGTGGGATGGGTAAGGATTCCAGAAATGGAGGATTACCGCTGTGGATACCCATAATAGAGGTACGAAAAAAATGTTGAAACTAGATTTATGTTGAACTTTAATATAAATAGAAGGGCTTAATTGCAGATTAGTAAAAACTACGAGGATTTAATTGAACCACAGGCAGTTTCAAGGATCTGCCAACCAAACGAAACGTTTAGGCCATCCTTCCCCGGCTGCATCCCCCAATCTACCTCAGGTAATCTTCCTGAGCATAATACCCGACCCGGTTTTAAAATGAATGCTTAAATCCGCCGCCAACCGACGCATGGAAGCTGTTGAAGAACCTCTTTCCATTCCGCTGGCGACGAAAAGAAAGTGCTAAATTATACAGGGTGTTGATGCAAAGAACTCTGAGGTCTACTCCAGCTCAGTCCTTCGCTCCAGCTAACCTGCAAAGCCCCGAGGTTGTTTCTCGGGTAGTAGACACTCCGATGTTTAAGTGAGCAAAAATCAGGTCTACCGGATAGGAAGCAAGAACTAAGCTTGAGATCGGCTTTAATTACCTTTGAGGGAGGACCCCTGGGGGTATTTGTAGCCTTCAACGTATTGTTCTTTGAGGATAACCGAGATGAAATGTGTCAATTATCGCAGAAAACTCTCCTGAAAAATCCGTATACGTACGGAGTTACTGTCGAGCAAGAGTAGAGGGACTAGCTCGAAGTCAACTGAGCTCACCAAGCTTCAAGTAACGGCTTAAGGCAACCCGAGGTCGGGAATAGTTTAGTCCGTCCGAGGTACCTGACCTCGTACTACCATCACTACACAGGGATCTTCCAATTTCACAAGTATCCGCTATAAATCGCTATGTGTCACCGGTACTAAAACCACTGGTTTTATCTTTATCTGATTCATGTTCTAATTTACATCAAGTAATTTTTCATAAACAGAATGTTGTGTCCGTACTTGATAAAATAATTTAGCAAGGAATTTTTTTTTTAATGTTAAATCTGATGTTAAACAAATAGTTTTCCCCTGATTCTGCTTCTTCAATCTCAACGGAGAAAATTAGGTTTTCTTGTGCTGCATTAGAATGATAAAGACTTCGTTTCTTCCTTGCAAATTATGTATAATCTTCATATCTACTTCGAGTTCTATTTCTTTATGAACCTTTTTAGGGCTTTGCATAGCTGACTTTGATGTCTTAATTTTACTTGACCCAGCATTTTTGTTTTGCTTTTATCTAATGCTTATTCTGTTTGTTGCATTGCAGGCATTGAAGTTCCTGTTGGCCAAAGTTGAATGGTCTGGGCGATTGAGGTGCAAGGGACCAAGGATGGAGCTAACTCTGGTTCAACCTGATGATTGACATCTTCATCTGCGTGATGGTGAACTTCTTCAAGCTGTTGTTCCTCACAGGTGATTTTACTTGAAGGACAGTGTTTTATTTTTAATGACTGCGGTTTGCTTTCTATACATCTAAGAATCAGTGATAAATCTGCAGTGCAAATCACTTTGGGAGGGTAATTGTGATGCCAAATTTTAAACCTCCAGTTACTACCACTGCTGCAGCTGTGACTTATCAGGAATCCATTTTGAAAGCAGTGCCTGCTGGTGGCAATTTCAATCCCCTAATGACACTGTATTTAACAGATACGACAAGTCCTGATGAGATAAAGCTTGCAAGTAAGTTGAGTCGTCACCTTCTTTGGTTCTTTTTAAAATTTACTTACCCCTAAAAGTTTTTAATCCAATTATGCTAACTAATATGACTCCTTCAATACATGTTTGCTTTAGAAAGTAGAATTCACCTGCCATGATTCCACTATTTGGAATTTCATCGTATAATATTGCCTAATTTAGAGCAAAATAAATTATTGTTTGCAATAATGAACCACTTTATCTGTGGATAGTAATTGATCTCAGGTTGCTTTCAAATCCTACCATTGAGGATTTCTTTATTATTTTGTTAGGACCCATGGTAGTCAGATTGTTTCTTCTTCCTTTTTTTTTTTTTTTTTTTTTTTTTCAAAAACCGAGGCTTTTTGTGCTTGCATTAATCTGTGATGTATTTGTTTTAACTTTTGATAACACCTGATAAATTTAAAAAATAATAATAAAAACTAACAATATTCTCCTATTAGTTCTTTGCCACAATCTTGTCCTTTTGGCTACAAATTTTTCCTTTCTTTTTTTCTTTTTTTAAGATTCACTGACAATATTTGATCTATGGGCAGGAAGTAGCAAAGTTGTTTTTGCTGTTAAGTTGTACCCTGCTGGTGCAACCACAAATTCTCAAGAAGGTGTTGCAGACCTATTTGGAAAATGTTTGCTTGTCCTTGAGCGGATGGTTGAGTTCAACATGCCTTTGCTGGTAATTTTATTATTTTCTCTTAACTTCTTGTCTAAAAAGCTTTGAGGTTTGGGGAAAATTCTTAGTTATTAATTTTAACATATGTTGGAAGCCAAAGTTTGAAATAGTGACCATATTCTCTATGTCTGATATGCCTGTGATCCATGAAGGAATTTCCCAGCATAGCGTAATGCTTTTGGCAAGGGTGTCAATGTCTCCTTATAATATCCAGAAATGGAACATGTTCTAAATAATATTGATCAGCTTAACTTTGCCTTATATGATATATGTGCCCTTTTGGGAACCAAAGATGGCTGTCTTTCCATCAACTTAATGCTAGTGAAGCTAAATGCAGCCCTCGTTGCTTTTAGTAGTGCATTTAAAAATTATGTTTGTATTCTTTGTCGTTTGTTTTTGTATCTCAACCTGGTGACAATTCTTTGTATGATTTGTATGATGTGGATTATTACTATTTCAATAACAGGTCCATGGGGAGGTTACAGATCCTAATGTTGATGTTTTCGATTGCAAGAATACTCTTCATTGACACTGTTTTGCAACCTTTAATCCAAAGGCTTCGAAAGTTAAAAGTTGTGATGGAGCATATCACCACCATGGATGCTGTTAGGTTTGTTGAGTTTTGTGAAGAAGGTATGCCTAAATAGTATATTCCAGAGGAGTTTTACCATTTATCTGACATTTGAGGAGTTTTACTATTTATCTGACATTCTTTTCTTCTACTGATCTTGCCGTAACCATTTAACTTTCTTCGTTTCGGCCCCTTTAGTCTCACTAGTTCGTTTCCTTAGGATTTGTAGCTGCAACTGTTACTCAACATCTTCTTCTCAACAGAAATGCTCTCTTCCAAGGATGACTGCAACCACACAACCACTGCCTTCCAGTGCTCAAAAGAGAAATCCACAGTTTGTTTCTTTTCTTGTCTTCCATGGAGTTATAGATTTGAATTGTCTCTCATGTCGAGACCATTGGATTGCAGTTTTGCTTTCAATTTTTAGCAACATGGTGTAGCTAAGGATAAGGATTTCAAATGCTTCTTTTCCAAATAATGTGACACAGAACAAATGTAAAAGGATTATTTTGCTTTCTAATTGTTAGAATACCGAGAATAAATTGCTCCTTTGAGTACCTCTTGAACAATTGAACATGGGAAGCATCATTCCTTGCTTTGATATGATAGCAAGGGATATTGTCCATATTTTTCCTTTTTCTTTTGCCCCAATCTTGTACATTATTCTCTTACCTAGGACAGGCTATTGTTTCAGCGGTGACTAGTGGAAGTAAAAGATTTTTTCTTGGAACTGATAGTGCTCCCCATGAGAGACGAAGAAAAGAATGTCCTTGTGGTTGTGCTGGCATTTATAATGCCCCAGTTGCCTTAGCCTTATATGCAAAGGTCTTTGAAGAGGTATATTTCGTCATTGTCCTATCCTAAGATGTTACTTATATGAACGGCCTCTTTTCTAAAGAGTTTGTCTGCTTATTTTAGGCCGGGGGACTTGACAAGCTTGAGGCATTTACAAGCCTTAATGGTCCAGACTTCTATGGTCTTCCAAGGAACACATCAAAGATTAAATTGATCAAGACTTCATGGAAAGTTCCAGAGTCTTTCTCGTTTTCATTCGGTGATATCATTCCTATGTTTGCAGTTGAAACAGTAGAGTGGCAAGCATCCTTCTCGTAACTCGTAGGTCAGTTTTCACGAGCAGACTATAATTTCAAATTATTTCTGGTCATGAATGTGCCTGCATAGTATGTTGATTGCTGACTGTGAACTTATTGTTTTCAAACGAGTTTTGAAGCAAACAAACTTTTCTTACTTTTTCAAACAACCGTATGTTAGATAATGATATGCAGCTCGGTGCAAATTTTTGGTGGTTTGCTTTATGTTGTGGAATGTCTAATTAACATCACACGTTTTATTAATTTGTTGGTTTACAATTAGAACTCTAAGTCAAAAGCCTAGAAGGCAGACAAAAAGGAGGAAAACAACAATTGAAAAGTCCTATTATAAGACTTATAGTTGCTGGTAGAACATAACCTGAGTAAATTATTAGTATGCTACGTATTCACTAATTCACATGAATAATGAAATAACACCAAGAAATTAAAATATAATCCTTCAAGTAGTTGTAAAATGCATATGGAAGATATTATAGAGAGGTAAAAGTTTCTCTACGTCACAGTTACGTATGGCTCCCTAGGGTTTTTTAAAGATGCAGCATGGGACGTGGATCTCTTAACTATTAAGGACTTGAGAGTCTTAAGATCTCAGATTTAAACTTATAAATGGATGGAGAGAAATTTTAGAAAAGTGATGACTGTCATTGTATTTTTCCTTTTTCCCTTATCAGCATGGCTATCGTTGAATAACCTACAAGACATAGGATTCATGAGCAGTATGACAAGTTAATCATAATTTGAGACGTCAGAGTATGCATACTGATTCCTTTGGGTCCAAGTGAATGAAAAATATTCTCATTTTATTATTAATTTGTATACGTGTTAAAATTTCATTAGCTTTTTATGCCATGTAGAATATATATACTTATTGCAGCACATCAATATATGCATACGAAAATGTTATACTTATCATGTTATGTAAAATTGTAAATTTATAATTATAATATATTATTGTATGATTTACTTCTTTTTTTTTTATTTCAGAAGCCTTATGTAATATTATATATATTCATTTATTTAATATCACATTATTATTATAAATCGACGATCTTACACAACATTGTAAATATAAATTTAGATGGATATTTTTGATTGCTCAATTTTGTTTCCCACTGGCCAGTGATAAATTCTGCAGTATCATGGAAATACCTTTTTGTCAATGGGAAATCATAAGCTATATTCATTTCATGTAACTTGGTCTAACATCAAAAGTACAAGTTCAATTTCAAAAAAAAAGGAAAAAAAAAAGAAGTAAATAGAGCATCAAACGAGCTAGAATGCTCGAGCAATCAAATCAAACCTTGTGTAGAATTATTTATGGAACCAACTAATGGGAATTAGATTCTACGACCAACGAACTTGTCTTTAACTGCACGCAATTCTGCAATGGCTTCTTTCATCTCCATTCTTTCATTTGGTGATGCCATTGAGCAGAGGACTCCTACCCTTGCCACTGCGATCAAGCTCTCCAAAATACAAACTTTCGTTCCTCGATTCCTTGCTCCTGAATGTGCATCATCTTGTATCTCCTGCAGTAGTGAAGGCTCTAAAATATCCGTTACCCTCTCAGGCAGTGCTGTTTTAACGAACTGGTGAATGGTGAAATTGTCCTTAAATAATGAATCTGTTGGTCTTTTTCCTGTAATCATCTCCAACAAGAGAATTCCAAAGCTGTATATATCTCCAAGTTTGGATGTCTTGTTGCTCAAGCCATATTCTGCATTAGGAAGGGAAAGTCGTGTGATATCATTGATTTATCATGTTAACTATAAATGCTAGCACAAAGTAAAAATTGAAAAGATTGAAATATACAAAGATAATTAAAACAATTACCTGGGGCTATGTAGCCAATTGTTCCTTTTACACCAGTGGAACTACTTTGTTGAGAAGAAATGGGTAGAAATCTTGCGAGACCAAAATCTCCCACGTGAGCAACAAAGTCCTCATCAATTAGAACATTGCTTGGCTTAAGGTCTCCATGAACAATTGATGGTTGGCAATGGTCATGAAGATATTCAATTGCAAAAGCCACTTCGATGGCTATATCAAGTCTTTGAATGAGATTTAAACTATACTCACCAACTTGGTCTTCATTTGGATGCAACCACATCTCTAAGCTTCCATTTTTCATGAGTTTGTAAACTAAAGCCTTGAAATCAATTCCTTTGAAGTCTATACTTGAGCAAACAGTTATAATCTTGACTAAATTTCGATGTCGAATATTTTTCAGCACTTCACACTCAGCCATAAAACTCTTGGAAGCTCCTTTCTGCTTGAGGTTTAGCACCTTCACTGCCACTGACATTTGATCTTGACCTAGAATTCCTTTGTACACGGAGCCAAAACTTCCCTCACCAATCAGATTAGATGGTGAGAACTCATTGGTTGCCTGACTCAACTCTGCATAAGATATCTTCGGAAATTGTCCATGCTCTAGCATCATGGTAGAAGCTCTCCTTTTAGATCTCCTCTTCCAACAACAAAAAGCAAGAGAGGTTATTATAATGCTTAAGCTAAAGATAATTATTGGGATCACCACTTTCAGAGTCTTAGACAACTCTTTCTTCTTCAAGTCTTGGGCCTTGCACGGAGGGAGTCCCAGTTTTTGAATACCTCCACATAGTTTTTGATTTCCAGCAATTGAAATGGCACTTACATTTTTAAATACTCCTCCTTGTGGTACTTCTCCTTCTAGTCTGTTAAATGACAAATTCAGATTTTGCAACAAAGTGAAATTTTGGAGGAATTTGGGAATTTGACCAGATAAATTGTTTCTTGAAAGATCAAGATGTACAAGGCTTTTCAAAAGACTTAGAGAGGGTGGGATGTCTCCTTCAAATAAGTTGTCTTCCATCCAAAGATCCTCCAACATCAAACAATTTCCCAAGGTGCTTGGAATTTTTCCTGACAATTTATTGTTTGAAACTTCAAATGTCACAAGGTTGGTCATGTTCCCCACCTCTAAGGGCAATTGTCCTATAAAAGAATTCTCCCTCAAAGAAAGGATTATGAATGAAGATATGCTCAAGAGTTGTTTTGGTAGGTCCCCAATGAGGTAATTTTCACCAAGGTAAAGTTTTAGAAGTTGAGAACAATTTCCTAAGGTGATAGGAATTGTGCCAGTCAAATTATTTTCTGCCAAATCCAATGCAAGCAACTGGGTGATATTTCCAAGTGATGATGGGATGGGCCCGAAAATTCTATTTTGACCGAGAGAAAGAGCAGATAATTTTTCTAGTTTGACAATACTAGAAGGGATTTCACCTTTAAGATAGTTCTTGGTCATTTGCAAAAAGGTTAAGCCAACTAGGTTGCCAATCCCCTCAGGGATTTTACCTGAAATTTCATTGTCTGCTATGGACAAAACTTTAAGGCTAGTTGAAAGATTGGCAATTGAAATAGGCAATTCACCTTTCAAATAGTTTTCTGCCATTTCAAATTGTCTGAGATAGGTGCAATTGGTTAAAGATGTCAAGATCCCTAAACCTTCATCCTCACTTTCCAACCGATTACAACACAATGAAAAGTATACAAGATATCTTAAGCCTCCAAGGTTGGAAGGTATGACTCCACCCAAATTGGTCATTGAGGCAGAAAATATTTGTAGCATAGATGCATTTTGTAATGAAATTGGCAACTTCCCAGAAAAAAAATTTGCGGAGATAACAAAACCCCAAAGATTAGGAATTGTACAGAAGATATTAGATGGGATTGTACCTTGCAATTGGTTCCATCCCAAGCCGAGCACAGAAAGTGATGAAATATTGAAAATAGAAACAGGTACCCTCCCTGATAAGTTATTTTCAGATAGCTCTAGTTTATCCAACTTTGGAACTCTGCCAAGCTCTGCAGGGATGCTTCCATGTATATTATTTCTTGCCAAAGCCAATATTTCAAGTGAAGACGCATTCTCCAACCATTGTGGGATGCTTCCAATTAATTGATTTTTGGAGAAGTGGATAGTGCGTACACTTTTTGAAAGATTTCGAAGTGCAACAGGAATTTCGCCAGTAAGGCCATTCTCCATAAAATAGACATCTTGTAATCTTGAGCAAAGTGCCAAATTGCTTGGAATTTCACCTTGAAGGACATTAGAACTGAGATTGAGAATTCTCAACCGGAGCAAATGACCAATCTCTTGAGGAATCTCCCCTTTGAAGTAGTTGTGACCGAGGTTGATTTGGCTTAGGAATGATAGGTTTCCAATGTGGGATGATATCGAACCAACCAACTTTTGACCTGCTAAATTCAAGTTGGTAACTCTACCCTTGTGTCGGTGGCCACATGAAACACCCCTCCAACTGCAGAAATGGAGAGACTCGTTCCAAGAACTCATGACTTCAAATGGATCTTCAAGTATTTGATCCTTGAAGGCTAACAATGCTAGCCTGTCAGTTTCATTTTGAGGGGGTAAGGCAGTTTCCAGAGGAGTTTGAAGGCCAAGGGCTAGGTGGCTTAAGCAAATGAGAATGATGAGAAAGAGTGACACAACAGCCAAGAATACTAAATTCAGAGCTGCCATCATTTGCATTAGGGCAGAAGAGAGAGAGAGGTGAGTGTGTGGTTTAAGTGGGCAAAGTAGCCTCACCTTTTATACAAAACCTGCGTGCGCTTAAACGCACACCCCTGTACACCTTACTAGAAAAGTATGCGAAATCTCGCTCTAGCTAATAACTTCTACCACGGGCCACGGCACAGCCATATAATCCGGCCTATGCTTTGGAAGTCTTAAAGCATTCCCTGAGTTCTTCGAACACACTACTATCAAAAGCATCCCTGTTTCATTCTTAAGAAAATTTGTATTTTGAAACCGACTGACACCCAAGAAATGGTGGCCCACATACAGATTGGTAGTTTTTATTCTTTAGAAAAACTGTGTTTTGAAAAGGTGCTCCTTTTTTCCTTTAAGAGAATTGTGGTGTTATATTATTATATTGGCATCGGTTATGAAATATTATAGTAATTAAAAGTTTAAAATTTTATATTAAAAATGTAAAATTTATATTTTAAAATTAATAAATAGAGATTTTAAAAAATAACAATTATCTCTTAATATATATAGTTTATTATTTCCTATACTAAAAAGAAAAATTATATTGGTATGCGTTAAATTCAAAGAAGAAAATGGAAAAGCCGCATTCAAAGTTGCAAGTGAAAAAGTGGCGTTCACATGGAGAGGGGACACAAACTATGCTGAAAGTGGATGTGAGTTATACATGTAAATCCGGCACGGCTGACGGAGAAGAAAATGGAATAGTGGCATTCAAAGACGTGAATCATGGAAAAAGAAAAAAGACGTGAATGACGCCGAAAATGTACGTAAATCTTGTGGAAAGTATATGTTTAAATGATGCCGAAAGTGTAGGTGAATCATGTTGAAATGGAAAAGTGCTGCTCCCCCAGCGAGCAGGAACATTGGGTGAGTTAATTTGGAATGTGAATAAGTTTGGTAACTTGTTTTAAATAGCTAGATGTTTGTTAGAGTTCTTATATAGAAGGAATTCAGTTAATTTAAAAGTTTTAAATTTAAATTTTGTAAAAAAAAAAAATAGAAGTTAAAAAATTTGTATTTTATAAATATGGTGTAATTTAATTTTAAATTAATTAAAATTTAATATAATTTTTAAATATTAGAAAATTTAATATAAAAAAAAAATTAGAGTTCTTATGAAAACTTTGAAACATTAAAAATAGTTAC